AGCACTAAATCCAGTGTTGATGGTTTGTGACCTGCTCCAAATCTGGTGGGTTCTGTTACGTGGTTGTACAGTGGGTGCAATTCAATCAACTGAGATAATTGTTTCTCGAATGGCTGGCGGGAACTCCTCGATCTTATGAGATTGGGGCAGTTAAAGTCACCCATTATGAGGGCATGGGTGAAATTTAGTGACAACGCATTCCTCATGGTTTGCAACAAAATCTCGTTGGCTGAGTCTGAAGATGCGGGAGGTCGGTACACAACACCGATTAGACATCTATCATTTTTTGAGAGTCTTACTGAACACCATAACATGAACAACAGAAGGGACAAATCCCATAGTCGTAAATATCTCATATTCAATGATAGAAACCGGCAACCTAGGCCCCGGGGTTTGGAGTGACGAGCCACATCAGGCCGCGCTAGATTTGGCGTGGTATGGAACTGGAAGACAGCAAAGATGCCTACCACCAAAGTTATGTGGCGTTGGGCGCTTCGAACTTTGAGCCACAGGGTCCAAGGCAAGCGGATGACAGTGACTAAACTACTGAGACACCACCACCCTCATCGATCAGCTTGGACGAAAATACTATTTTTTAGGGATTCAACGTGCTCCCCGAAGACCGCTTTGTTTAATGTTTAACGTATGCATTCTTTTGTACCCGCGGTTTCCTATAAATAACCATTGCATATTGAATGAATTCCTCTATGCTTTGATTTAACTACCTGCGGAGTGAGATCTGGGTGAGAAACGTTACCGGAAGACGATCCTTTGAGAATCCCGTATCGAGAAAGTCCTGGACGGTTACAACGTATGTGACAAACCGTAACCTACTAACAGTCAAAGACTTCAGCTCCAACCCAATATGCATAGTTTTGGGAACCGGCAGCTCAATTCCTATTATTCGGAGTGGCAAAAAACTACCAAAAACCTCATCGAAATACGTGTGATTTTGACTTGGGAGACAGACCCACTACTATCACCAATATACTAGTTGATTCCTTCAGTGCTTTTATATACAACAAAGGTTCAATCAACATTCAGAAAGAAAACCACGACCGATTAAAAGAGGGTCAAACAAAAAACACAAGTGGGACGACGGTGACGAACTTATGAACAAGACGGTAGATGGATGGCCTATTCCTCTTAACCCCTAACGACGCCGATAACTTTGGGAAATACGGAAAATGACCATCCAAAGCAAAATATGAACGTTGAAGAGGATGATCTGGAAAATACAATGGTCGATTTAATAGAATATGAAGCAAAAATGAACTACACATGCAAAACGAGCAAACCACGTTCAAGTTACTAATTTTAGTTTTGGTGAAATTCAGTATCTCCATTCAATGCAGCTTTTAACAGTGTCGCAGGGGCAGCGCAATCACTAAACGATGGAAATTCGAAACGAAATTCTGATATTTACTTTACTGGCGATCCGCTACGATAAAATCAAATTTTTCTTCNNAATCATAAGTATTCTAATGCCTAAGATATTCGAAAACACTGGAAAGCGCGTCAATCAAGCGAGCCCCACGAATGCACAAAACAATTATCATTTTGGGCAACGCCCAATTCGCAAATAGTGAAGTTTATGGGAGAGTAACCGTTACCATGTTTCACAGATGTAAAACAAAACTCACTTCGAATGTTTGGGGTCATCACAGAGTTGAACAAACAAGCCCACGTCGCTATACAAACGAGCCCTAGAGTTTACCATGACTACACATCAAACGAATAACGACGAACGGGAAATCGATGCTTAAATTAGGGACTACGCCCTTTTCTACTACTTACGAATAAAAGGTATTCGACCAGGTCAAAGATAGCAAACACATGAGAAATGGAGTACTAACCTTCAGTTTAAACTGGCATTGAGCAAGATTAACGTAGAACGGTACGCGCTGTTTGTCCAATTCTACCCACTCTGGGTCACCCGGCTTCTCCCGAAGACTGAGCTGTTCCAATAGATTAAGTGCCTCTTGGTAACGAACAGCCGCGGCTTGAAAATCGCCTTTGATGTATAATTGATTTCCTTCTTCGCGCAATGTGGGAATGAACTTAAGTTTTTCTTCCGGATTCATAATCCACGTTTCTTTCCTCGTTACCCCGGGGACATCTACTCTGTTAGTAAAAATGAAGAAAAGTCAATTCCAGATGTGGTGTAAAAATGAGGGTTTGAAACATAGACTAGGAAAACTGAACAAAGTTTACATTATTGTGATAGTGAGCAGAACCACCGCCCACCTGGTGGCAGAACGAACGATATACTGAGTATTCATTCGCAGATTCAATGACGAAGCTTAAATGGTGAAGCAGAACACAATAAAGCTTATAAACTCTACTTCTTCAAACTACCGCGACACATATATATTTATATATAAAGGGATCAAACCCGGGACTTAATGGGCAGAACACAAGCACGCTACCCATTCGGCCACCGAGCAGCTGATCAAACCGTTTTTCATTTTTCATTCACACGGTATAGCACAACCCACTTTGCGAGCTTGTTGCGGGCCACAGAGCCTGTTCATCTCAGCACTAACCTCCAGGGTTATCACTCGGTTGGAAACATTCACAACCTGACTACTTCTTTTATGTGAGTGTGGGAGGATTAGATTAAATTTCGAATGGGAATTCGTCATGTATATAGCAAATAAAGCGTGAACTGAAAAGCTAGGAAGCACGTAAGCTCGCAAAGATCAGCTGTGCTATATCGTGTAAATGAAAAATGAAAAACGGTCTGATCAGCTGCTTGGTAGCCGAGTGCGTAGCGTGCTTGTATTCTGCCCATTATTTCCTGGTTTCGGTGGGTTTGCACTGTCGAGTAAACCCAAGCAGGCGGAAACCGATGTCCAGTGCTTCCTAGATTTTCAGTCCAAGCTTCAGTTGCTATATACACGATCGATCCGATATATATACATAACACCGCTTTGCGGACGAGCAAGGTGCCAACGCCAAAACCAAAATAACAATAAAGGAAAAGGAGGTTGGGATACAGAACATAAGAAAAAAAGCCAAACTAATAAAATGGGAGATAACAAACACATAGCTTGACAAAAGTTTTCTGAGTTTAATCCTACATATTTCGATATTTCTTGCGTTGTTTTCTACGAGGCACGGGATTATGACAGGCAAACCGTATAACTTTCGCACCACTGACTTCTAATCTGGGCCATATCTCTCAGCGTCTATAACCAACGACAATCCTCATCCCTTGAGCCCCAACCTAAAAGGCGGGCTGCACCAACCGAAGCGAGAGCTGAAGCTTCTTCAGCTTCTTCATACCTCTAGCCCATGTCATAGTCTGACCGCCGCCGCGCTTCTTCCAGCCTTGCCCGGCACGTGCAAAGAGAGCGCGGAAAGGTAGTAGATGGGCAGGCATACGCAATACATGACCAAGCCATCGGAGGCGATGTCGAGCGATTACTTCTGTTAGAGGGCGCCTATCCGCACCCAACACACGACGACGATCCTCGTCATTGCTCACCCGATGTTCCCACCAGACACGAGCAGTGCTTCGGAGACATCGGTGGTCGAATACAGAAAGTCGATTAGCATCCTCAACGCGGAGAGGCCAGGTCTCTCAACCGTAAAGCAGAACACTACGAACTGCGGCGATGTACATCCTTCCCCTAAGGGATAGCCATATGTCATAGCGGCGCCACAGGTGTCGCAGGTTGGCGAAAGCTGCTCTAGCTTTCGCTATTCGTGATGTGATCTCCTCTCCAACACCAACATCAGCTGCGATCAAGCTCCCGAAGTACTTGAAGCTTTCAACTACTTCCAGCTGATCACCACAGGGTGAGTGCAGACAGTTTGGCGGGAAAGAAAGAACAGAGGGCCGCCAGAACTACGTGTGAGACCCCTACTCAATCCCGGGCTCAAAGCACACCAAAATCTGGAGAACCCTTCTGATGCATCAGACCACACCATGCATGTACCGAACTCCGCGGC